CACGCAACACTCAGCGCGTCCAAGAGGTGCCTTTCTACTTCACACTCACGCCGCAACAGGCCACCGAGATTGCCTCCAATCGCGACATCCGCAACAGCTCCAAAGTGGAGCACGCCATACAGGTGCAGTTGCGCTTCTGCTTGGTAGAGACATCGTGCGACCAGGAGGACTGCTTTCCGCCGAATGTCAACGTGAAGGTGAACAACAAGCTGTGCCAGCTGCCAGTGAGTATATCCGTCAACGTTGGTCCAGCTAGGAACGAGTTAAATCTCCTGCACCCCACCCCATTCGCAGAATGTCATTCCTACAAACAGACCAAACGTGGAGCCCAAGCGACCGCCGCGTCCTGTCAACGTCACCTCTAATGTGAAGCTGTCGCCGACCGTCACCAACACCATCATGGTGCAGTGGTGTCCGGACTACACGCGCAGCTATTGCCTCGCCGTTTATCTAGTGAAGAAGCTCACCTCGGCGCAACTTTTGCAGCGCATGAAGACCAAGGGCGTAAAGCCGGCTGACTACACCCGTGGCCTAAGTGAGTTTCCTTTGCCGTATTTTTGTATCCCTACTAATGAATACCTTCCATCTCGCAGTTAAGGAGAAGCTGACTGAGGATGCTGACTGTGAGATAGCCACCACTATGCTTAAAGTGTCGCTCAATTGCCCGCTGGGCAAGATGAAGATGCTGCTGCCTTGTCGAGCATCAACCTGCTCGCACCTGCAGTGCTTCGACGCCAGTCTCTACCTGCAAATGAACGAGCGCAAGCCGACATGGAACTGCCCCGTCTGCGACAAGCCGGCCATTTACGATAACCTGGTCATAGATGGGTAAGAGCTTCACAATCCATGTAGCCCCATGAAATTAACCGATTACATCTCCCTTCCACAGCTATTTCCAGGAGGTTTTGGGCTCTTCGCTACTCAAGAGCGATGACACCGAGATCCAACTGCATCAGGATGGTTCCTGGAGTACTCCAGGTCTTCGGAGCGAAGCGCAGATCCTAGATACACCCTCAAAGCCCGTTCAAAAGGTTGAGGTTATATCGGACGATATAGGTGAGCAGACTTGAAGCTCTCTCTTTTGACTTCGTTATTAATTAAATCGTCCTGTTGTTACCAGAACTAATCTCGGATGATGCCAAGCCGGTGAAGAGCGATTTGTCCCCAGCACCGGACGAGCAACCAACCTCCACGTCAAACAACAGTGAAACTGTAAGTTAATAGATGACATTTTAAACAAAACTTTACTGCAATGTGATTTTCCTCCGTGGGTGCAACAGGTTGATCTTACGTTGAGCGATTCCGACGACGACATGCCGCTGGCTAAGCGTCGTCCGCCCGCCAAGCAAGCCATCGCCAGTTCCACGTCGAACGGCAGCGGCGGCGGCCAACGTGCCTACACTCCGGCACAGCAGCCCCAGCAATCCGGTACGTTGGATCCCTTTTTGCAATAAGCCAGTAAACCAATTATGACTCTGTATAGCCAAGAAACCTTTATAAGTTTACAAAGTGCTGATTGTAGACCTTAGTTTAAAGTAGACATAAGAAACCATACACCATACACATCCAATTTGCATCCACACAGACTCATTCACGCTCGATCACCAAGCATTTAGAAATAGGGATGAAGTCCTCTAAAGTTCACATCTCTCCCCATGAAAGTTTCGTTTCAGATTTTCATGTAAATATCAACACTTCGCAAAGCAATAAGACTTAATTTAACGTGTAATAGTATTCATTTTGGTGCATCATATGTCTTAAATATTTATTGACCATTTTTTAATAATTAATTCGAAAACGTATATATCATATGCTAAACGTATATGTAAACCGGCTTGAAACGGAACTTGCATAGGGTTTTAAAGTAAAGGATTTTTCGATATTCTAAGAGAAAATATGTTGCGGTTTCAATTTCATCATCACAGAAATTTTCTCGAATACACTTAGGTTCTCCTATTATATTTTTAGATCCCCATTCGATTTTAGTTTGAGTACCCAGTTCAAACTAATCCCATTTATTATTTTTAGTGGCGTTGCGTATGAACAAACATTGTGTTTTTAGATTTTTTAAATTGACAGGCAGGGCAGAAAAGGAATTTCCTGAAATTTCATTGAATCCCCTAGCCAAGACTTTCATAGACTAAGTAGACAAAAATATCCTACTCCGCTGCAGAGGACAGATAGGAAAGATTTCGATTTTATACTCTCTCCGCTTTCGTTGCTTGTATTGTAGATGGTAATGTTTTTAAGAAACCTGATACGACAGAGGAGCTTTATCGGCGTGTTCATTTGCGAATGTGGCTGCGCTCACGGTAGGTCCTTCCATCGATCAAGTGCGACATGGCCCGGGTGTCCAAGAATCCCATTCTTTAATCAGTGCATTCTTACAGAAAACCAAAGCAAGACAGCTCCAGGCGCCCAAACGTGGGCTAAGCTGATTTTAAGACTATTTTTTCGGTTTTACAACCACCCAATTGTTGTCCATTCTTCATTTGATATGTATTTTGTGTTGTCACCGATTCTAAATTATTCCACGAAATGTACTCTTATTTTAAGTGATATATAAACAATAAATCATGCTAGTTCGTTAGTGGAGGTATTTTGTTAGAGAACCCAATTCTTTTTTTTCGATTGCTGTTGTGTTAACCTCACGTTGATATGATGATAATAATGAAACTAATCGAAGTAACTTGTGCATTTCTTTGTCTTTTCTCTTTCTCTCTCTCTCTTTCTCTTCTCCCCCTGATCTTTTTGTGTGACCCGTCCATGCTGCCGCCGATGAAACCTTCTAGAATCCCCAGAACAGCAGGCCAATCGTCGCCAATCGCCAGAGATGCAGCCAGGCTTAGACCAGCAACTGCAGCAGCTGCAGCAGCAACAGCACGAGCAGCCAGCGGCGGCAGCCGTCCATGCCTCACTCCTGGAATCCCTGGCTGCTGCGGTCGCGGATCAAAAGCACTTCCAACTGTTGGATCTGGCTGCGGTTGCGGCTGCTGCAGCTGCCACGGCGTCCTCCGGCCAAAGTCAGAATGCCGGCCCATAGGCAGGACCCAAACCCACATCCACATCCACATCCGCATCCACATCCCACACATCACTCTCAAGATCCCTGATTTGGCTTACATAGTTTCTGTTCTCCGTTCCTCTTCCGCGGTGGCACACGGCCAGATCTTACCTCAGAGGCTATTCTTCGGCGTTCCATTAGCAGTCACCTCATCCAATCATACGCCCTCTATCGCGGCCCACCAACTGATGCTTGTAATTCTTGTGTTGCAGGACGCAGGCAGAACAGACAGGCTTTATAGGAGCGGGTTCCCAGGTCCCCAGTGGTGGCTGTTCCCCCATCGGCCAGATTGTTGCTGCCCCCCTTTCAGTTGGTTATGTCCCGTGTCTTTCGTTTCTGTGTCGTCTTGAGTAGTTGTGTAACGCGCCTCCCGGGCCTCTCGGCAACACACACACACTCACCCCACACACCAACTGAAATAATCCTAGATATTACAATTACACAAACTAGCACCAGCATTCATTAGCAATTACAATAGGAACGCAATTAATTTATTTTCTCTTGAAGCGGGCTGTCGAATGATCACAGAGGAGTCCGAAGAAGTTAAGAGCCCTACGCATAACTAACATTATCGATAAGCGTACACCTAAGGCAGATGTTAATCTTAAGTCCTGCCAATGCGATGGCAGTGTGGGCGTATTCCTATTCCTATGCACGAAGCGAGAGAGGAGACAGGCCAGGCGGCAGCCAGCCGCAGCACCGACATTTAAGTTAGTTAAGTTATTTTAGTTGAACTATGGTTACTGAATCGATTAGAGGCGGAATGGAATGGAGTGGAGTGGCGAGGCGGGTGCTGCCCTTAGATTCATATTTATATTGTGTTGCAAGTCAGGACGAAATCGCATTAAATGTTCATGTGTATTGACAACAAACGAGAGTGCGTTTTAATTGATAAAAATCGATTGGAAACGGTGGATAAGTTATAACGTGATAAGGTCCTCGGACCTTTGTCGTTTATTTAAGCTCAAACCGTAATACGTTAAGATTTTAAAATGATTAATGCTTTGACTTTGATTTGATGCCAAACCATTTTTTAATATCAGAACGAACAAATATGAAATCAATGTACAAGGAGATGTGTACTTTAACTATATTATTAAACAATTTCCAACAAAGGCCTGTTGTTTTATTTACCAACGGGGATCAAGTTCTGTTTTAAGTTAATATCGATTTCTTTAATTTAGCATCCCGTTTTTAATTGGGCCCACCCGAATCATTTTCTTTACTTGCAGAGGATATTGACGGAAACGTTGAGGCTAAGGTCAAAGAGGATTCCGTAATTGAACTTTTAGACTCGCCCTAGCTGCCGCCGCAAGATCTTACGAGTAAGGTCCTACGCTATCCATAAGCGACCCCAAAGAATTAGACTTGGCCAGTTAAACGTATTTTTTAATGCGCCAGAATTCGTTGATTATCTTGTAGCAACCTAAGTATGTTACATTTTCGTGTAGTTTGTATAAGAACAGTATTCGTTAAGGTAAGAGAAATCTGCGAATAAATAGCTATACCTAAGCATTGCACCAATAAAGTTGGATTCATCATAACGCAGCATTTTGAATTTCGCGCGCATCAGCTGTTTTGAAATGCCCATCAGGTTGGCAGCCCCGTTTCAACTTTTACTTTTGCCCATGGTCGTGGCATAATTTTTTTCTGGAGGGGTTGCAAAAACTCGTAATTGGTAATATATTACCTTTTACTTTTCGCCATGGTCGTAGTATACATATTTCAGGGGGGTTACAAAAAAAGAAAGTGTTTTTATCAACATTTTTGTGGCAAAGTAGTGAGAAATCATCAGTTTCGTTTCCGCTTTTCAAAACAGTTCGATTTCCTTGTTAAGTTAAATCTATTAAGTACTGTTGATTTGAGTTGAATACCTTGAACATGTACAAGGTCCACTAGTTCCCCTGTAACGCTACGCCCATGCTTTTGGCTCTTGTTCACCTTGATCGCCATTTGTTGTGTGAAATCTTTAAGAGAATGTCGAAGCCAACGTTGTATTACGCCCTTTTTAGCCCTCCAGCCAGGGCCTGCATCCTGATAGCCAAGCTAATTGGTCTGGATGTGGACCTTAAGTAAGTGCACCACGTCCGCATATCAAAAATTGCTAATGCCTGCTCCTTTTAAATCTTTAGACCCGTTGATTTCTCGAAGAAGGAGCACCTGAGCGAGGAGTTTGTTAAGGTTGGTGGGATCTAAAAATCGTAGGTTTCGTTATATAACGCAGGGTTTCTTACAGCTGAACCCCCAGCACCAGATTCCTGTGCTCGTGGACAGCGATGGTGAGGTTTACGTGGACAGTCACGCCATCGTGTGCTTCTTGGTGTCCAAATACGCCGAGAACGACAAGCTGTATCCGAAGGATCTGAAGAGGCGAGCCCACATAGACCATCGCATGCACTACGAGAACGGGGTGCTCTTCCAGGTGATTAAGGACATTGTGGCGCGAAACATTTACGGTGGAGAGGGGGAGTTCAATCCCCGATCTTTGACCCTCTGCCAGAACGCCTACTCCGATTTGGAGCACTTCCTGCAGAAAGGAAGTTTTGTGGTGGGCAGCGAACTTAGCGTGGCCGATGTGTCCATCCACACCACGCTGGTGACCTTGGATTTGCTCATCCCAGTGGAGCGGGAGAAGTATCCACAGACAAAGGACTGGATGGAACGCATGAATAAACTGTTGCCGGACAACGAGGAGATCAATCTCAAGGGTGCCCGGTTCCTGGAGACCCGCATCCTGAGTTGCATGGCCGAGAACAAGGCCAAGAGTCAGTAGATTCTCCCTTAATTAGGACCTCTCTTCTGGCTCTGGACTGACAGAATTTCTTATATGTTATATTGTTTTTATGTATCAATCTTTGACTCGAAAGTATACTCTTAACTTGTTATATTGTCAGTTAAATTAAAATAAATTAGAACATTTATGTTAAAGCAAAATATCTCGAATTAAAGCGCATATCGGAACTGGAATTTATTTGTATTTTATTGGTAATTTGTTAGGCTAATTGGCTTAAATTCATGCTACTCTAAATTCTGGTGTCTTTTGATTTGGAAGTCCAGTGTACAATATGTATATGTAGTTAGCGAGAGTTCCGATCCAAGCAAATTGCTTAAACATGCCACTAAACAGAGTTATTTACAGAAACAAGCGTTTTTCTTTGATCCTTTGCTGAACGGGGTCACTGAATATAACTAACTGACTACAGCAGACATACAATTTTGGGTAATTAAGGGTTAATTTACTGTCATCGGTCACCTCCTCTTTGATTCCTACTATCTCTCCTAGCTATTTACAACACAATGTATCAATCACACTTATTTTGGTATCATATTTGAAGCGGGGTTGTCCAATCCACTCCCTCTCTAATCGAACGTCGTCCAGTTGTTCATGCCCTTTCCGGTGGTGAGTTGCTGTGGCTTCTCCGTTCCGTTGGCATTCAGGGTGAACTGGTCCAGTCCGTACTTGCGGAGCAGCTCGAAGTCGTCGTCGGGCTTGGCGGCAATGGTGCTGCGCTGGTGCGGCGGCGGTGGGTGCATCGGTGGCGTCCGTCCCGTCACCGCTGCCACCGTGGCCATGTGCTTGGGCGCGAAGTAGGGGTACAGCGGATTGCTGACGCTGCTGTCCACCACACTGCTGTTGACGCCAGCGGGCAGTGTGCTGCACTTCTTGCCGAACGCCTTGCTCAGCGGTGGCAGCGGTCGAGCGTTCTGATTCAGCGGATCGAAGTCCTCCAGGTCGAAGCTGGTGTTGTTGCTATCGTCCAGCGATATCAGATCGTTCATGCTGTCCTCCAGTGGCTGGTGCTGCTGCGGGTGGGGGAGGCACAGAGGTGTGGCTTGTTAGAAAGCTTTGGGCGTGGGTTCTTTGGGTTCTACGGTGCTTATCGCAACTTATACGAAACATACATTCAACTGAAGTTACTTTATAGCGCTTACAAGCATCTAAGTTTGGTGGAAAACTACAATGGGTGCAGTAGATTAATGACTCAACAATGAAATAACAGAATGTATATAAGAAAAAGAAGGAAAATAAAAATAAAAGTTAAATATAAGTAGATTCTTAAAGCAGGAATAAAATGTTAACGGACTTTTCCATTTCTTCCAGTTCTTATAAAAACCAATCAAATTCCCTTTTTTCAAATCTAGCAGGCACATAAGTATGCTATGAAAAATGATTGATGGTTGTTCATGGAATAATGGTATACAATATCTGTAACTAATGAATTTTAGGGAGAATGATTATCATGGTTCAACGAAACTATTATCTTTAACTACTGTATACAATGATGCAAGTAAATAACGTTAGTTTAGACTCGGGGGAAACTACATGAGGGCCCTTGATGTGTGTTAGTGTGCTTTTGACTGGGAGACCACAACCAGGATGGGCTTAGTTAACTAACGTCGCAGCTGGTGTACCTCTCTCTTGGCCCGCGGCGTCGGAACAGGCGGATCGGAGACATTTAAGTGCGAGAACGTCGACGCCGCCGTCACAAAGGAGGCGCCCGAGGAGCAGGATGAGGTGGCCGACGATGAGGATGCGTTCGAGTTGCGCACTGAGTCATTTCCGGTGGGCTCGTCCTGCCAGCAGTTGCGCTCCAGCTTGCTGATCTCTGCACTGACGGCTGCAGCGGTGGCGGCCACAAGGGTATTCGAGCTGCCCTGCCTCCGTGGCGGAATCGGCGGAGATTGCACATCCGGCGGACTGTCAAAGCTGCTGGAGTCGGCGGTGGGCAGGGGTTGGCGAGGCCTGGTGGGCGTGGACGTGTGCCTCGGTGGCTTCGTCTCCACGTGCGGATGCGCGGCATACGGATGGTTGTAGTAGGAGGCGGGCGTAGACTGCGGTGGCGGTGGTCGGGCTGGCGGAGCTGCTCCTCGCCTGTGCTCTGCATTCGGCTTAAGCTGCGTGGGTCGATGGGCAATGCCAGGATGGGGGGTGGGTGCAAATGTCAGACGAATATGATCGGTTACATCGGTGTATGGTGGTGGTGTGTGGAGTGTGGGGTGTGGTTTGTGGGCATGACATGGGGGCAGACGATCGATCGAGGGCGACATACAGTTGGACACAGACACGACACAGACAAGGAAACAAAAACAAGAAGAGCATGAGAACAACATAAATTCACAGCACATCGAGATGAGTGGTCGAATTAGCTTAGCGGCAAGCATGTGAACGGCTGCACCTGGGCGCTCCAGTTACTGGAGCTGCTGCAGCCGAAGCTCGTACGCCCGCACCAGACTACTTACACTGCGGTCCACGGCAGGCGTCTTAAAGAGCGGATGGTTCTGCAGCTCCTGTGAAAGGTTCATCTCCGACGATGAGCAGACCGAACTCGCCGAGCTAACAGCAGGAGACGCAGCGAGATGATGACCATAATGAGCACCAGCACCCGCACCGTACGCATGGCCGTTCGGCTGAATGTGGCTGCTCGAGCTAGACATGGCCAGCGGAATGGGGCCGCGTCGCTGGAACTCCCTAGTCTCCCTGGTGCCGGATCCACCGCTTCCGCTGCTGCCCGTGACGGAGGCGATTCCATCGAGCCGCTTGCTGGTCACTGGTGAACTGGGCGCCGAATGGTGGGCCGCTCCAATGGCCTTGCCACCACGCACGTATCCTCCGCTTCCTCCGTCCGGACGATCCGAGTGGTTGGGCGATCCCAGGCCGAAGTGGAAGTGTGTGCCGCCGAACTGGTTGCCGTTCTCGCGCAGCTTTGTCTTGAATCCCTTGTAGGCGGTCTTCATGCCCCGCGAGCCCTCTTTTACCTGCATAGGTATGTGGAAATCGAATTAGTTTGGCATGTTCCACAATTCAAATAGATTCACAATAAGCGCACGGGGACATACAACACACATACGGGCTTTAAACTGGGGGACTGGACCACTCACCGATTTGACGGCAGACTTTACAGCCGGATTAGTCTGCAATGGTTAGACGAACGCATGTTTTGGATCAGAAAACGATTGGTCACAATCGCGCAGCGAGAGCAGAAAGCACAGAGGAGTGTAGGATGAGCGATCCAAGCGGCATATGGAAGAAAGACACACAAGATACAGGCGAGATACGGTGTGAATGAGATGCGCAGAACAACCAGCGGGTTATTTAAGCTACGGCTAACTACACTTAATGGCTACGATGACAATGCCGATTCGGGTAATGGGTACTGGGGATCACGGAGGCAATGGGGCTTGACATGTCGAAGCGGTTGTTATAATCTGCGATCAAAAGGGTGCATTCTAAGCGGCATCACAGCGGAAGGCCAGTGGATAAGTTTAGTACGTTAGTGGATTAGACCAGCAGCTACTACAGACTACAAGATATTTAGTGTTATATTTTAAGTTTATGTGTACCTAACAAGAAAGAGAATTAAATGTTTGTGTACTTTTTGTTTAGAATTACATTTTAAAGTTAATAAAAGTTCTGGAAAAACATTACATCACCAATGTGTTAGTATAGAAGCTTGTTTTAAATTGAAATACTGGGGTCCATTACCAATTTATCAAGGTTATCAAGGTTACTTTTCATCAGATCTTTTAATAGATCAATTTTGAATGGATTAATTTAAAAAAATTGTTGAGAGATTGTTGGTTCACCTAAAGGTGATGACACAAAACAAATAATAAAATAATATTAAAGAAGAAGCTAACTAAAACATGGATAAATTATAAGATATTAATTGAGAATGCATCAACAAACATTTAGACGTTTCTTTTTTAGCTTATGGCAACATAAATTATTCGGTGCATTTGCTTGTTAGGACGTTAAATTATTTGTTTGCATAGAGATAAGAAATCATTTGAACTAACATTGCAAATAAGGTGTGTGGGAATTTACATTCTACTCGTTTATATATTGGTAATTGGTTTTGGTGGATTTGGCATGGTTGGCAGTCTAAACATTGTTCTTGGAAAACAATCGCGACAAACTGCGCTTTCCCAAATACTGTGGAATAGATTAAATCAAATCAGATAAAAGAACATCAAAAGGTGGGCACAGGTGGTAAAAGTAACTTAAGAGTAGGAATAAAGTGGGTTAGCGGGTCAGCGCAGAAAGGCGGTAACGAAATGCAAGCCCTTTTCCCAATTCCCCTCCAAGCCAGGCAATTGAGGGGGATGATGGTGGTGGAGGTGGTGGTTTAGGGCGGATGTGGCACCATGAGGGTTAGGTTAACAGCATTGGGCCAACAACGCTCATGGCCAGCGGGCAGCCACAGCTTCCTCGGCTCACCTTGTCCTTCAGGTTCTTCATGATGGCGTAGTTGCGGCCACGCTTCTTCTTTTCCGCATACCGCACCGTCTCCAGCTCGAACTCATCAGAGAATCCAAGTCCGCTGTTGAGCATCGTGAGGCGATCGTCGATGAACTGTGCAAAGATCTGCAGATCCATCATTTTGGCAAGAAACGGGCGCAGGTGCGCCGGTCGAGATTCGATGAATTTTTGGGAGTTAAAGGTCTTGCTGGTCTCGTGGTACTCGACCGCGTCCCGATAGCCACCGATCAGCTGCACCAAAGCGTTCAGAAAGATCTTCGAGATCCGGTCGCCGATGTGGTCGTGCGTGTGATTCAGATGCTTCTTCAGCTGCGAGACAATCTCCGTGGGCAGATTGTGCACATCATCGAAGGGGCTTTCGAAAATTTTCGTATCACAGTTCAGAATCACAACTTCGCCCAGCTCATCGCTGGTTACCTGTGAGAGAAAGATAATGAGTATCTAGATCCATAATAGATGGTTTATAACTTACAGTTTCGAGCACTGGTTCTGGCACACCAATCAGATATGGCATGGGCGCACCCAGGTAGTCTTTGAACTCCCACGGCAGCACCGGTATAAAGATATGCTGCCAGACCATGGGATATAGGAATGCGTTCGCCGCCTGGATGCAAGATGACAGCCTGTCCAGGTGCCTCGAGGTGAAGATTATTCGACGCTCGGCCAGCATGGCTGCAAACACGGCAATCATCTCCTTGGGCTCCAC